TGTAGATCAGTCTGGCCTTGAACTCACAGAGATCCACCTGCCTCTGCCAGGGATTAAAGGCCTGGGGCTTGCCTCCTCCCCTCCTGCCAGCAAGGTACGTGAATTTGAAGACACCCCGGGGTTACATAGTGGGGTCACAGTATCAGAACCAAACCAAACAAACCAGGAAGGGAAAAGGAACTTGACAAAAATGAAGTTTGGAGCAAAAGGAAATGTCTAGAAGGCACCTGGGGAGTGCCTGGTTCAGGATTCTTAAACAGGACACTGAGCACAGAGGAGGCAGGCATTGTTTGTGAGCAAGGGGCCATCGACAGAAGAGTGAGGACTGGGCTGTGCGTCTTTTCCAACAGCACACTGTGCTGTTTTCTCTAGGGTAAGTTTAGGCAAATGGATTTTATTTCTGCTATGTGTTCAGTCATAGATGACCTCAGTTGTAAGACTAATTAATGACCCTGCAAATCCCACAAGGTCCTCTGAAAATCACCAACCAGCAAGGAGCTATACAATACAGGAACGGTTCAATTCCATGTGCCCTTGCAACAGCTCAAGAGGACTCTGGGGCCCGGAGATAAATAACTCACTGTATGGACTAATCGAGACGGGAATAAAGAGCAGAAAGGGCCTCCTTTTTTATTTTTCACATCAGTATTCAGGCCTAACCTCAACTCAGCAACCTTTTGGCAGAAGAGGCGCAGCTGAGATGAGGCACAGTTAAAGCCTGGGTTAGGGCCATGACGCAAGGCAGGGTGTGGGTGTGCCAGAATGTGTTTGTACCCAGAAGCAGCTCTCAATTAACTTCCTTTTAAAAACTGACTTTATTATATTATTTATGTGTGTGTGTGTGAGAGAGGGAGGGAGGGAGGGAGGGAGAGGGAGAGAGGGAGAGAGAGAGAGAGAGAGAGAGAGAGAGAGAGAGAGAGAGAGAGAGAGCGAGCCAGCCAGCTGGCCCACAGAGACCAGAAGAGCTCATCAGAGTCCTGGAGGTGGAATGATAGGTGGCTGGGAACTGAACTGGAGTCCTCTGTATAAGCGGCCACTGCTCTCTCCTGCTGGGCCATCTCTCCAGCTGCTTTGTTAACTTCTAGATTCCTTGGACCCTGCTGCCTAAGTGAACAGGCCTCTAGCTACAGCATGGCTCGGATTTGAGAATCCAGGTGCCAGGGCTAACCTTACCCACATAAACCGGAACTGCACATGGGAACCATTCAAGGACCATATTGCCCTCCGTTCCTCCTCGAAGCCTCCACAAGGTTGGGTCTGTGGAGAGCCTATCACTCACTCATCTTTGCATGGGGTCTGAGAAATGAAACTTTAGTTCTAGAAGATGGGCTTTCCCCTGACATCTAAAAGCAGATGTGAACACTGGCCAAACAGCTCCTGTTCCTCAGAAAGAAGCCTGGGGTCTGAGCTGATTCTGTTAACGCTCCATTCTGTTCTGATATTTGAGACAGGGTCTTACTCCGTAGCCCACACTGACCTTGAATTCACAATCCCTTGCCTCTACTTCCTGAATGCTGGGCTGGCAGGTGCGCCCCTACCCTCCACCAGCTAACTTTGTTTTAGAAAAGAGAAAACTGGAGGAAAACCAACATGATATAGGACTTACGTGACAACATCAAAACTCTCATGGCTATTAGACACTACCCCAGTCCTCGAGGCCTAAGCAAGGCTACACCACCACGGAACTGTGTTCCCATGAGTCAGCTCTGGATTCCAGGGGCTTGGTCAAATCTGTAGACAGAACTGTAACTGAGAAGTCGAAGGCTCTCCCAGACACAGATCTTAATCACTCCATAGCCTCTCAGATGGCACAGTGTAGGGAGGTGAACAGAGCGAGCGCCTGGGAAACATGCCCTAATGAAACTGGAGCTGGCATGTGAGGGCATCACTCTGCCACTTCCGATGGAGAGAATGAGCTCTGCACCCTGGACATGCCAGGGTCGGGATTTCAGAACACTGACTGCTACAGTCAGGCCCAGCTGGTGTCTGAGTCGTACAACCTCCCAGGGAGTTTTCCAAGACATTTTTGACTCCAGCTAGAGCCGGTCAGGCAGACAGCCGAGGGCAAGCACTGACTAGAAGTCTTTATGCAGGCTGCATGTGGAAGAAGTATTAGGGAAGATGAGCAATGAAACAGAAACAAGGTCATGTCCAGGTCTCAGGAAGCTTACAGTGAGCAGGGGCTGGTATTTAATGAGGGCTGGCTGTGTGCCAGACATGCGTCTTACTTATGGGCACTGGCTTTGATTTTCACTATTTTTATTTAATTTTATTTTGAGACAATGTCTAGCTGTGTAGGCCAGACTGGCCTCAAACTTACAATCCTCCTATCTCAGCTTCCCGAGAGCTAGGATTACTGATGTGTGCCACCTCACATGGCCCTCTGTTTTGTTTAATCCTAACAGCTACTTCATGAGGTAGCACCAAGCATTCCTATTTCAAGACAAGGAAATGGAGGTTCTGCAAAGTAACTTGTCTATGGACAAACAGATGCAATGCTGCAGGCACAGGATCCAGCCTCTGCCCTTGTCATTCCAGAGCTCAGCACATGAGTGCTCACACCATCCTGCACTTGCTAACAGAGAGGACAAAATCATACTGCACTTAGACTCAAGAGACCTTGCTATTCACTGATGTTCGCATTTGCCTCTGACACTTCATGAGTGACTGCAATGTACTCTAGTACATGCTAACTAACCATCTCACTAAGGGGAGCAGGGACTGGGGGCGGGGGGTGATGTCAGCACAGCCAAGGAGCCATGAGTGATGCCCTCACATGAGGGAACTGAGCGGGGAAAGTGTTGAGCCTCTACTACATTGCCTCATATGGTACAGAGCAGGATCTATGGAAATGAATTACATAATCTTCCTACAAGTTGTTTAAGTGTTTACAGACCGGTTTAATGGATATGAGTTGCTTTTGATTTGTCTGTGAATAATTTACACCTTAAAAGATTGGAGGAATGAATAATTTTTTTATCTTGTGTGTGCCTCTGTGTGTGTGTGTGTAAGTAAGTATATATGTGAGAAGGCCAAGATTGACACTGGGTGTCTTCCTCAATTGCTCTCCACTTTATTTTTGAGACAAGGTCTCTCACTGAACTTGGGACATGCCAATTCAGCTAGACTCACCGGCCAGCAAACCCCAGGGGTCCTCTTGATTCCACCTCCTCACTGCTGGGATAATAGGAACACACTACCACTCTTGTTTGTTTTTAAATTTGCTATTTATGTATTTATGTATTTATGTATTTATTTATTTGTGTGTATGTGTGTGCACGTATCTGCTTGTCTATATGCATGCCGTGTGTGCAGCGCCTGTGGAGGACAGAGATGGTATCAGACCCCCCTGGAACTGGAGTTATAGATGGTTGTAAACTGCCCAGTGTGGGTTCTGGGACCAGAATCCAGGGTTTTTGCAAGAGTAGGAAATGATCTTAACCACTGAGTCATCTCTCTATCCCCTTACTCTTGATTTTATGTGGGTGATTTTTAGAGGGATCAAACTCAGACCCGCATCCTTGTATGGCGTGCTAATTGGTTTCTGTTGACTTGACACACTAGTTACCTGGATGAGGGGCCCTCAACTGAGGAATCGCCTCCATCAGACTGGCCTATGGGCATGTTTTGGGGGAAATTTTCTTGATTAATGATTGATGTGGGAGGGTCCAGACCATTGTGAGTGGGGCCATTCCTGGACTGGTGGTCCTGGGTTGTATAAGAGAGCAGGTTGAGCAAGCCATGGAGAGTAAGCCAGTCAGCAGCACTCCTCCATGGCCTCTGCTTCAGTTCCTGCCTTGAATTCCTGCCCTGGCTTCCCATGATGATGAGCTGTGACCTGTGAGTCAAATAAACCTTTTCTTTCTCAAGTTGCTTTTGGTCAGTGGTTACCTCAGAGCAATCTCTCTAATCCCTGTTTTCATTTTCAAAATCAATCAAAGTGTTCCCTGAACTCACAATGCCCAGTCCAGAAAGTTTGAATTGGTGGGAGATGAAAAGAAGTCACCTTGCTGTAGTATACAATTCAGTTCACCAGGGTTCAGGCGACATGAACTAAGTAAGACTTTGTTTCCTTAGGATGGGGTCTCACTATATATTGTACATTGATTGGCCTTGAGTTCAAAATCCCATTGTTTTAGCCTTCTAAGTGTTGGGATTACAGACATGTGCTACCATGCTCCAGCAGAGAATTCAGCTGAGGAGAAGAGCCCATCAAAGGAGCTTACTGGAGAGGTGAGTTCAGGCTCTCCCTGCTCTCTGAGGTGGCCTCTGCCCAGTCACACTCAGAGCTCTGCTGGACTCAGAACACTGCCCCTTCACCTTCCCGTACCAGCCCTCAGAGAAATCCAAAGCCTTGGCCGGGCAGTGGTGGCACACACCTTTAATCCCAGCACTCGGGAGGCAGAGCCAGGCAGATCTCTGTGAGTTCAAGGCCAGCCTGGGCTAAAGAGCGAGATCCAGGACAGGCACCAAAACTACACTGAGAAACCGTGTCTCAAAAAAAAAAAAAATCCCCCCAAAAACAAAAAACAAACAAACAAAAAACAAAAAAAAAACCTCAAAAAAAAAAAAAAAAAAAAGAAATCCAAAGCCTTCAGTCTCATTCCCTACAACAGTTTCCCCTAACTTGTTTTGACTGAGGTTGTGATTATCTAATTGATCTGAGTCCTGCCTGGGCTACAATATGAGAAGCTATCTCAAAAATCAAAACAGGGAAGCAAAAAGAGTGGCCAGGCAACCTTGTTTCTGTATTTCAGGGAAACAGTCACGGTCTTTTCAGACTGGATCTACCCAAGCCCATGTGTTGGATCCACGACAAGGCTGAGGAGGCGAGGGCTGCACTGACAAGGCTAAGGAGGTGAGGGCCGCACTGACAAGGCTGAGGAGGTGAGGGCCGCACTGACAAGGCTGAGGAGGTGACCCCTCACTGACAAGGCTGAGGAGGTGACCCCTCACTGACAAGGCTGAGGAGGGTGACGCCGCCCGGAAGCTCGCCTTACCTGCTCTGCCCCCACCATGCTGATCGGCTTGCACTTGAAGAGATGGGTGATGAATTTGGGAATGAATGAGCTGTGGATATAAAATGGACAAGTTATGCTTGTTCTCCTTGGAGTAGAGCTGCAGAAACTTTTATTTATTTATTTTTCGTTTTTCAAGACAGTGTTTCTCTGTGTAGCCCCAGAACTCACTCTGTAGACCAGGCTGGCCTCAAACTCACGGAGATCCGCCTGTCTCTGCCTCCTGAGTGCTGGGATTAAAGGCATGACCACCTGGCGCGGCGGAAACTCTTTAAGGCTCTACTCCTTTACATGAGAAAACAGAATCCAGGTGGACACTACCGTCCCCTACACCCCAGGTACCGCCTACTCTTTCCTTCTAACTTTAGCTTCAGTTTTGTTTAGGGAGGAACAGCCTTGGGATTCTGCAGAAAGCTCATCCCATCCTAAACTAGAGTGGTGAACTATTTTGTTTGTGGCGCTGGGGATAGAACCCAGGTTGCAAGAACCCTACCACTGAGCCACACTCCATTCCTACAGAGGTCAATACTACTGAGCTTCAGCCAGTTCCACTGGTGACTGTTTCAGGTCCTAAGAGAGGGAATTACTCTATGCCAGTCTAATCACTTGGAGGAGGGGACCTCATGGCAGGGCTAGTGTGAGACTCTCTTCCTGCTTAGGCCGTTGTTGAGTTAGATAAAACACCTATACCTGTCATTCTATCATCGTTCTGAGGATGTGGCCAGTCTCAAAGACAGAATATCCCAGGTCTTCTTGAAACCACTGAAACCCTAAAGCAATTGATTATTTTTAAAAAGGTTTACATATTTTTATTTTAGTGTATGTGTCTGTGTGTGTGCATGCAACCACGTGTGCAGGTGCCATGGAGGCTAGAAGAGGACATCGGATCTCTTGGGGCTGGAGTTACAGGCGTGAGTGCTGAGAACTGAACTCTGGACCTCTGCAGAGCAGCATATGCTCTTAACTAAGCGAACTCTCCAGCCTAAATCAACCACTCTCAAGTCCCAGCTTCCTCTAGACTTGAGGTTAAATGAAATTTTTGAAATCCATTTTGTGCCAGGTGTGGTGGCGCACGCCTTTAATCCTAGTACTCAGGAAACAGAGGCAGGCAGATCTCTTGTGAGTTCAAAGTCAGCCTGGTCTACATAATGAGTTCTAGGACCTCCAGAGCTACACAGTGCAACCCTGTCTCAAAACAAACAAACAAACAAAGAAACCCAAACCAAAACAAAAAAAATCCACCTTGCCATTCAAGTCCATTTGAGTACCAGTAACTGAAAATATCTGAACAGTGGCAAGAGCTGAAGCTACATGGACAGTTAGAGTATCTTAAAGCAAAACCAAGAAATAAATTGCTAAGGCAGCAATTCTCTTACCAAGAACCAAAAATTATACGATTTTCTAAAAATCTGCTGAGCATTGAATGACAGCCTAGGTGAGGTGGACTGGAATGCTGTTTAGGGTGAAGAACAGTGAAAGTCCAGTAATCAGGGCCTGCGTCAAGGTTGGACTGTGCTGCTGTAGTTCAAAAGCTGCAGAATTAGACATGTGCAGAACCAAGAAAGATCCCGAGTGTTCTGAGCAGGAGGTGCCCTAGAGCCCAGGACCACGGAGGAAGGATGGGAAGGGGCAGGGTGTCCACCAAGGCTGGCTACCACCTGTCTCCTCCCTCTTCCATGCTTTGTCCTGGTCTATGTCCTTCTCCTTCAATCTCTCCACATCTCCTCCTGCACACTGAAATCACACTGAGAGCTAAGGACTCCTGGGACCATTTCATGGAACAGAGGTGTACTAGTTAGGGGGTGAGAGAAGTCATCTGTGATCCAAACTATAGTCAACCAAGAGTGACCTTGGTAAGTCATTATGTTGGAGGCAGTGCAGCCACAGATGGACTAGCAATTGTGGTGGCAGGAAAGGAGGAAATGGAAGAAGACCTCAAGTTCAGAGGTCAGATACAGGAGAGGGAGTGTGAACAAAAGGCTGTCTGGAAGGGGTTCTTGGCACTTAACCTGAGCCAAACAAGTAATGTGAGGCTAAACTTGGGACTCATCACACCCGCACATACAGCCTGTAATGGAAGCTACTTCACACTAGAGTATGCTGTGGCTGTGCCCTTGAACTTGTCTAGTCCATGTTGGCTGAGCAGGAGAAACATATCCAGGCATACATCTTTGGAGAAGAAATTGCAGCAATGTGATGTGTCATTGCCAAGGGCCACCAGGATGGAAATGGTGGCTACTGCTCTGGGCTGAGATTTTAGAAGGATGGGAGGGTACCAAGAGTTAATGCACCAAACTTTCTAGATCTTTGGTTAAACTTCTCCAGATATGGGGGATGGGCACTCTATTCCCAGGTCACTCAGAATGAGCTTAGTAATAAACTTAATAGGCGATGAGAGAATGCGAGGTTGACACTTGGGATGGGCTGAGCAATGGACTCCTTATTCACTTTAACCTTAGCTCAATCGGACCCCTGGGTGCCCACAATGGAGATTTTGAGTCACAGTAGATTTTTACAGAGACACTTGTGGCAGTGGTTACAGGGAATGTCATATGTGATTTATCAGCAGTACTTTTAGTGCACATTAATGAGCACCCAGAGAGAGAAGGGAATGTCAGCTCCTAGTCCATCTGTGGCCTGCAAACGTAAGCGCTCCCTGGGGAGTCAGCCCAAGCCTTCCTGATGAGGCTGAAACTCAAGTTAACTCTACAGCTACTCTGTCACTGCTGTTCCTGGGGTTTATTTATGTCAGATGGGGAGAATCTAATCGAATACAAACCGAGAGAGATCTGAGGGAAAGAAACTCGGAAGCCTGAGTTACCAGTTGGGACCTGGATGAGAACAATCCAAATACGGTAGCTTGGACAGCACTGACCTTCCTGGAGCAACTTGCCAAACTGTGCATCTGATAATTGGTCAGAGGAGACACTGGCCCTCATCACTGCCTGGCCTCCTGGGAAACAGTGCCGGAGCCAGATGTTGACTGGCAAAGAACCAAACTACTTCCTTGCTTCAAAATTCAAGGCAGAAATGGCCACACACGAGGACATAACCAGAAAGCAGGCAACTTGGTGCTTGCTCCATCCACTTCGGCACCGGAGCTTGACAATTTGCTGGTCCTAATTTCTAGTACTTTGTCTGGACATAAAGACATCCATAGGTGGATGATTTCTGGCAGCTACAGTAACAAGTCCTGTGCAGGAGGAGGAAGTAAAGGCTCAAAGGCACAACTGACGGGTCCAACTCTTGAGAAGCTTCTAATCTAGTCAGGGATAAAATGTACACATGAACGTGCTGAACAATAAAAACCGGAGCAAGGAGTGGTTTCATGTGCAAAATTCAGAACAGCAAGATACCCCAAATCATCCCTGTTTCCCATGGCTGATGACTGCTGCTGTAAGCACGTACATGACCTGAACTGGCCCATTTGTTTTTACCATTATGGCCCTTTGGAGTACAGAAGAATATTGGTTTTCCTGGAGGTCCCAGAAGGAGCCCAGCTAGAAGATGGGACACCTGGACTGCCAGCATTCTGGGTGGTTAAGTACAGCAGTAAAATAACTCCACTGAGTGTGACACCAGGGCCACCACAGCTCTCCCAACCCCGAGAGCTACACCTGGAGAGCAAGCCTGGGGTCAACCATCGGTGTGGTTGTGAACCGCACAGTGCTCCTGAGGGACCTGGCCACGAGCAGATGGGTACACGGGCATCCCTGCTTATTTATCCTGGGAGATAGAAACAGAAAGTGCATCAAGAAACAACTCAGGACTTACTTTGCAAATTTAATGCAGAACTGTGTGAAGTATTTCCGTGTGGAAGCCAGGTTGTCACGGATGATGGGAACATTCTGCTTAATGTGAAGAATAACGGAAGTGACATAAGGGCTCTGGTCACCGACGTGCTCCACATTCTGCCACGGCATCTGAAACAGAGACAGGACCGGACCAGGCTTTAGAGCTCCTACAGGGAAACAGTGATATCTATTACTGGGGAAGGGGTGTGGGGGATGGAAATTATTAGGTCACTACTTGGTACCACAGGGATTGGCCTCTGCCGACGTACCAGTTCTGTGACACAGGCTGCTTCTGAGTGAAAACGAGCTGCCACCTCACCAGTGGCATGGAGTGCAGGCTCTGTTCCTTTCCCTGCTGTCCTCACCTAAGGCTTCCAGCAGCCTCCCCACCCAAGCAAATATCTTGTAAGGGATTCTCACCACATCACTAGGCAGAGGAATGAGAATCTGTCTAAACCCATAGAGCAGTGGTTTTCAACTAGTGGGTCCCAACCCCTTTGGGGCTGAATGACCCTTCCACAGAGGTTGCATATCAGATATTTACATTATGATTCATAACTAGCAAAATTACAGTTATGAAGTAGCAACAAAAACAATTTTATCCTTGGGGGTCACCACGACATAGGTGTTAAAGGGTCACAGCATTAGGAAAGTTGAGCAGCACTGCCATAGGGGGACACCATTACCAGGGGCTGAAGAACAGGGGAGGGATGTTTACTCCAGGTAGTCGTAGCTTGAGAGACTGGAGAGATTTAGCAGCTGGGCTAAATGTGGTGAAACCAGAAAAAACTAGAAGAGAATTAACTTACACACCCTTGTTCAAGTAAACTGGGAGGAGTTTGGGATTTTATTATTGTTATTTATTGGTTTCTTGAGACAGGGTCTTACTTTGTAGTCCAGGCTGGCCTAGAACTTACTATGTAGCTCAGGGTGGCTTTAAACTTATAATAATCTTCCTGTCTCAACCTCCTAAGTGCTAGGATGATAGGCATGAGCCACTACACTTAGGTACAACCTCCCCCCGCCCCACAAGTACACTGTATTTTCACAGCATGGCCGATGTGATCTTTGACTGGTTAAGAACAACAAAAATGAGCTGGGTGGTAGTGGCTCTTGTCTTTAATCCCAGAACTTGGGAGGCAGATGTATCTCTATGAGTTCAAGGCCAGCCTCATCTACAGAGCGAGTTCCAGGACAGCCAAGGCTACACAGAGAAATCCTGTCTCAAACAAAACAAAATAAAATGATAACAAAAACCAAACAAAAACCCCCAAACAAACAAATAACAAATAAATAAAATGGAGCTCAAGCTTGTACAACCAATGGTAGAAGCAGGGGCATGCCCTCGAAGCCAAGAAGAATTAACAGTGTAGTGACTCTGTTTTTTGGGGTATACAAGAGGGTTGGGGGCTCTCAGTTTATGTCACCTGGCAGGTTCTCATTTCTGACCCTGTCTTGGAGGAACCCTGATGAGCTGGCCTCTCACAGCCAAACAGGGTTGCCTGTTCAAACCCTCTTAAGCCAAACACAACCCTTACGCTCCATTTGGAGGGAAGGTCAGCAGCCCTAAGGCCTTCATGTCTCTGGCAAGAAAACATTTATTTTTATTGAAGTGAACCTGGGTTCTCTTCAAGAGCAACAAGTTCTCTTAATCTCTGAGCCAGCTCTCTAGCCCCCTACCTTCATTTTACAGATACATGAAGAGCCTCTTGCAAAGCTTCAAATGAGGTTTGAAACTGGGCATGGCATTTGTAGGCTAGGAAGGAGGCTTGTGTGCTTGGGGCCAGCCTGGACCATACAAGCAACACTCAGTCTCTACCAAAACAAACAAACAAACAAACAAACAAAACCCAAGTAAACAAACACTGGCTCCAGGAAGAGAAGGGGAATTCTGTCAGCAAGACAGCTCAGGAAGTAAAGGTAATTTGTTGCTAAGCCTGGTTCCCGAGCTTGAAACCTGGGACCTACATGGTGGAAGGAAAAGAACGGACTATTGCCACGTGTCCTCTGAACTCCACACATGCCCATGGCACATGTGTGTATACACACATACAAAATAAATACATTTTTAAAGGTCTCTAAAAAAGGCAAGCAAGAAAAAGGAAATCTTATTTATAGATCTGTTGGTTGGTTGATTGAGACAGAACTGCTTTGTGTTGTCCAGGCTGGTCTCATGGCTTCTGAGCTTGAGAGTTCTTCCCACCTCAGCCTCTCCAGTAGCTGAAACTACAGCCTTGTTTGGTAGTAACAGAGAGAACAGAAACAATGGAGAAACAGTGAAAGCCCCAGCAGGCGTTGCCTGTACAGTGAGCTGTGTGTAATGTTTCCTCATTAGCTGTTACCTTATTTGAGAGGTGTGTCTTCTATCCCATTTAAAGAGCGGATCCTTCCAAACAATGAGCATCCTCACCCACTCCCAGTGAACTCATAGGGTGAGGCCCAGACGACAGGTGTTAGGTCCGCCCTTCACTCCCCCCACCCTCCCCCTACACAGCAAGGCTTGCAACATGGGGGCCTGGGCAAGGGCACACATGGGGAGCACACATGGGGAGCTGGGCAGAGCGTCATGTCCCACCTCCAATCAACATACAAAGGACTAGTGCCTTCCAAGTTGGCAGCTCTGGATAGTTCAAGAATCTCAATGCAGTTTATAAACAATGATTTAAAGATGACAGCTCCCCACTTACAGAAGACAGTCATAAAGAGAAGTGGTGACATGTTCTGTCACCGGTTATAAAGCAACTCTGATGCAAGGCAGATTGTGGCGGCGTGGTTGCTTCAAGTTCTTGCTAGTTAGCTGTATGGAAATCACGCTGATGTTCACATGCGTCATACATGTGGAAAGATCCCACCTGCTTTAAGTTTTAGCCAGGTACAGCCAAACCGAAAGAAGTATTAGCAAGTATTCATGATTTTAAACTTTAGTTGGCTTAATGAAGAAAATAATTTAAAGTACTGGGAAACAATGAAAACTGACATGGTTTTTATTTTGTGTGAGTGTATGCATGTGTACATGTGTGTGCATATGTGAGCGGAGGCCAGAGCTCAACCCTGGGTACTGTTTCTCAGGAGTCTACTTTATTTTGAAACAGGTCTCTCACTAGTTAGGGTGGCTGGCCTCCAAGCCCAAAGGTTTCTACTTTCCCAGTGCCACAACACTTGGCTTTGTACTTTGGGTGCTTGGGATCAGGTACATGGCAATCATTTTACTGACTGAATTATCTCCTCAGCCTGTTTTTACTTTCTTGTGTTGGGAATGGAACCCAGGGCCTCTGTGCTCTACCCATGAGCTTCAATCCCAGTCCCTGGTTCTCAACCTCATGCTTTCTGGTGTTTTGAGACAGGGTCTTGCTCTCTAGCCCTACCTGGCCTTCTACTCACTATGTAGCCCAGGCTAGCTTTGAACCCATGGAAACCCTTCTGCCTTAGCCCCACAAGTACTGATTACTAACACGCACCACCATGTCCAGCACCTAGCCCCTTTCTATTACTTAAAGAAAAAGCACAAAATACAGTCATCAGTGCTTGTGTCTCGATACCACTCCAGCGGGCTGATGCCTGTCCTCAGCTACCCCAGATGATTATGGGCTTAGGTTGTTGTTTATTTATTTTTGGGGCACAAGGTCTTACCATGTAGCCCAGGCTGGCCTGGAACTCAGAGATCTGCTTCTGTCTTCCAAGTGCTGGGGTCAAAGGCCTGCACTGCCATGCCTAGACTTAGGTTGTAACTTAAACTGTCAAAACACTAGGTGTGGTAACACGTGGGAGAACTGCCATAAACTGAAGGGTACCCTGGCTCATACATCAAGAACCAGTCCCCAAAACCAAATAAGAAACAAACGAGGCAGCAGTACAAGCAGCCTGATGGCTGTGTGCGTGTGTGCATGTGGCCTCCCGTGGGTAATGCTTTGCCTGGTGTCATTTCACTTACTCGTCGTGTGTGATGTCATTGAGTTCTGACAGTCTTACAGAACAGGCAACTCAAGTGACACACGGAGACAGGCAGGCTGATGGAAAGTCTGAGCACTACACAAGGGCGCAGGACATTTGTGAGGAAGAGACAAGCCCTCCACCTCCCTGGGCTGGTTCACAGCAAGCCCAGGGAGGAGCTGGAGGGTGCGTGCAGCTCTCCGGGAAATCTCAGCAAAGGGCATGAATGTTGTACTAGAGTGAGCTGCGCTAAATTCTGGCATTCAGCATTTAAAAGTTACCCTGTTAAATGAGATTCTTCCTTTTGTGCTCTCTGCTTGGGGGTGGGGTGAACTGGATTGAATACCATCTGCTACTATATAAATAACAAGAAATAGTTGACAAAAACCTTGCACATCAGATGTAGTGTTGACAGAAAGAGCAAGCAGGAAAACGAAGAAAGTAATGACGGCGTGCCCAGGACGCGTGTTTAACCAGAGGTGACATGGTGGAGCCCAGCCCATCTGTGGAGTTCTGCTTCTGCTGTCCTATGTGTGGTCCCTGCTGCCACTTCCCACGGCAGGCTAGGAGATGCTCGCATTGTTACAAAGGGCCCACTGCAGTCCCGCAGAGAATTCACTGCAGACCTTTGCTCCTCTTCTGCACGAGGCTCTGAAAGAGGCTTCCTGACAACCTGATCCTCAACTGAAAACCTGTATCCCCTGCCCCAAGTCAGACAGATATGGAGTACAGCCTCACGTTTGGACTCCAACAGCTACAGTCTAGGGCTGTGGTTTGAGCTTCCGAGCCATGGGCACCAAGTCCTGGACTTCATACACACACCTGGGTACATGTGACCGGGTCACTCACTCCTGCAAGCCTCTGCATTATTTCTTTTCTTTTTCTTCCTTTTTTTTCCAAGACAGGGTTTCTCTGTGCAGTTTTGGAGCCTGTCCTGGAACTCACTTTGTAGCCCAGGCTGGCCTCAAACTCACAGAGATTCACCTGCCTCTGCCTCCTGAGTGCTGGGATTAAAGGTGTGGGCCATCACTGCCTGGTGCCTTTGCATTATCTACAGGCATCCTCTGCATGCACAGCACTGGAATAAGCCTTGGTCAGGAAATAGAGGGAAACTATTCATGATCACTTACTATGTTCTCAGTACTGTGACCGACACTGTCACATGAACTCACTGTGTATGATGGTATTACCGCACTTCA